TTTCATCGACATTTTTTTCCCTTTTTTTATCACAATAAGCATGATCACGACTTGGTACCTTAGTTTTCAGAGACGGTCGAGATCCTTCTTGTACAGAATATTAAGTTAATGTGTACGAACATTTTTTTTTTTTACAAAACATGTGTAAATATGACTAGATTAATTTTAAAGGAGAATGTATATTTCTACTACTATTTTTTTAGCTATCTATGTCGTATGATTCCCTATATGTATGTTTGTCATGAAATCGCAGTGTTCATTCAAGGTCCGTAGGTAGTAAATATTTTTCATAAACTTGCACAAGTTGTCGAAAAACAATAAATTGTTTTTTTTTTCACGATGCTAAAATACAATACGGTTTTGACTAAGAAAATTCATATCTTTGCAGCCAATGTGAAGCAAACTGTTGATTTATTGGCAGTTTATTTACGTTGACCGCTGCTTTTTCTTGGCAACTATGAGTAGACAAATAATGTGTTTCTTCAAAGAATTTTTTAAGCTTTATGTTTTTCTCTTCTCACAGTCGTCTTTTACACCCTTTTCATTGTTAGTTCTCAATAATATCTGCTACTCAGAACCAAATATAGGCTTTTCTTTCATTGTTGATTGATTGCTATCGGCAAGTTCATTTCTTTCGGAGGTAGTTTTTGTCTATTCAAAGCTTGAGATGCATTTAGTTTCCATTGAATTTTGAGGGTGCACAAGCATTTGTCTTCAATCCACGAGCGCCTCAAAGTAGCATGAAAAAAAGAAAATTCTCAGAATATTTTCTCAGCGTATAAAATAAATGTAGAAAATAAAAATAAGCAAATTTACTTGTAACAATCGGCGTTAATTTCGCTCATTTTTTGTGTACAATTATTATCAATTTAAAAATAAAAGAAGAGTGAGTATTGTTGGTATCAGAGATGTGCGGGGCATTGATTTTCCATCCCCCGCGGGGCCCGCCCCGTAAAATTCACAAACCCGTCCAGTCCGAACCCCGTGGATATTCTTTTTGAGAATCCCCGCCCCGCCTGTGCCCCGGCAAATCTATACCCGCTCCGCCCGTACCCCGCACAGGCAGCTTCTTGGACCAGCCCGCCCGACCCGCCATTTTTGTGACGGGCCCCGACCCGTCCCCGTGTAACCCGAAGAAATTTTTTATTTGCCAAATACTTTATTTTTAATGATGCATTCCTTTTATGAATAATCATTTTTTACAAAAGCAAAACTCAAGTCTATATGAGATGGTTTTGAATGATTCACTTTGTGATTGTCGACAAGCACGTATTTTTCTGGTTGTACTTTTAAAAACATTTTTATATTTGACGAATTACATTTAATATTACTCGATGAGCAATGACTGAGAGATGAAGAAATAATTGTAGATGAACGATCAGTATTCGACGAAGCTGTCCTATCAAGTGACTTATCAGGAGATAAATCATGTAATTCGATCATACTTAGGTCTGACCAAAAGTTCTGGCAACATTATATAAAAATATAAAGATAAGTAGGTATCTTTAATTTTATTTTATCAAATATTGAGGACAGTTGCCATGATTATTTATACCAAGTTCGAACCTTTCCAACAATTTGTTAAAAGTTTTTTTCGGAAAAAGTTTTAGATATCGTACGAGCTTATCATGTTTCATTTATTTAATCAGTTAAACTACATTTAATAGAATTAGTTAGCGAAAAGTTACATAGTATCAGGCCTGGCGAATATGATAGATATGATATTATATTGATGCCTTCTTCTGTCATGCAATTAATAACATTAGATGAGTATGAAGTCAACGATGACCGTCAAGCAATTTTGTACATTATGAACCTGATGTCTCTGTTTGTTTCCATATTTGATTAATAAAATGTTTTGGAGAGCGTTCAGCCTAATACTTGTGACTTACAGTCTTGCCTTTATCTACATTCAGGAGTATTTGATTTAAAAAATATACCAAACAAAGCATTTTCTAAAATCTTTATTCATGAACAATAGTCTTTGACGATTCATCTTCAATAAGCCAGCCAGCATCGGATAACTTATGACTAACCTATCTAAAATAAATCTATACCTCATCATTAGCAGTACTAGAATGCAACTGATATGATCGAACAAGATTTTGCTAACTTTTCACAATAAATGAAATATGATTAGCTCATGCGGTATCCATGATACCTAAAAATTTTTCGAAAAAACTTCAAAAAACTTTTAACTAATCGTTGGAAAGGATCAAACTTGGTATAAATAATCATGGCAACTGTCCTCAAAATTTGATAAAATAAAATTAAAGATATCTCCTTATCTTTATATTTTTATATAATGTTGTCAGAGCTTTTGGCCAGACCTAAGTAGTAATTCACAAAAAAATTCAAACGATAATTCTAAATATAAAATAAGTTTTAGTCCAGTTATTCACTTAATATAAATTGATAGTAGAAGTTGCGTATGACAGACGATAAAGAAAGAAACAAACAAACAAATGGTAGACAATCTTGTACATAATAGGATGATAGTAATGAACCAATCAATATGTACTTTGTACTACATACCTATACTAAGGACATCCCGTGATAAGTTTTGACGATCTTTCATCACACCCGAAAAAAAATGTTTACCCTCCCGAACCCGTGTATTTCATACCCGCTCCGCCCGAGACCCGTGTCATTTAAAAAAATTATTACCCGCCCCGCCCGCCCGTGTGGCGGAAAATACCCGCGCCCCGTTAATCCCGCGTTTAATTAAATTTTTCTTCCCCGCCCGCCCGTCGCCACGTGGCCCCGCGGGGCCCGCGGGGTGAACCCCGTGGACCGCACATCTCTGGTTGGTATAGTTTTCGATAGGAACAAAATAGAGATCTGCAGTTTTCACTGTTTAAACGAGAAGATGAAACTGCATCAAATCGTATAGACCAGATATTTCTGACAAATTTTCTCACAATCTCCCGTCAAGCTTCTCAAAAAATTGAGGCTTTGAAGTAGGTTTATAAGGTGGATTTTTCATCAAAAAAATCAAAAAAAAAAGTCATTTTTGTGAAATTCTGCCCATAACACGTAGTAAAATGTTTATAATCCACGATTGGCTAAACCTTACAACATCGAACTTACACAACCTATAGATCTGCAGTTAATGAGTGTAGTGCATTCCTGAAAATTAAAATCCTAAAACTTTTATATTACACAATATTTTGTTTTTAATAAAGTTGATGGTAGATCCTGAGGGTTGGTGTAAGTGTGGGTGTGGGTTAAGAAAAGAACAACACCCACACCCATCTTTAGTCTTGTTCAAAAATTTTTGTATTCCAAAACGCAATTCGACGCATTTGGATGTGCTCTTTCGAATAAGACTTCTCTCACGGTGGTCGATCACTCTATCTCGCCCAACTTGCCTTATTCATGTGACTAGACGTTCTGGAAATGGCACATAAAAGATTAGGTGATAAGATATTTTTATGACAGTGAAAAGATAGCTCATGGTCAACACTATCTTTAGTAAAAAAAACTTCTCTGTTATAACTTGTGTCGCTCTTTAGAAAATGAAAACTTACTGAAAAGCATTGCATTAGATGACACTTTAAATGTAATAGAGTAGCTATACTTGCAAGGTCTATATCTCCAGAATGGCTCATCTATTTAAGCTGATGTGATGTATATCTACCTACTGTACAAATATCAGCCAAATCAATAAAATCGACTGAGAAAAGTTTTACAGGAACTGGTTTGGATTCATACAAAGAAAAGTTCCAAAATTGAATCAGCTACTTCTGTGTTTTAATGATTACCAATTTGTCTTTTTTAGATTTTCTTTTTATATATTCACACTACTGAAGATGTTTCAAGCAAGTGATTATCTGTCGACATACGTCTGAACGTTGGGTGATAACCAATCATGACTATCGTAGAAATGGCCGATTGAATGGTTTGCATCACTGTTGTGCTGACCTAATTAGCAAAACAACGATTTTAATATTTTGAATCGGGGATCGTTATGATTCCTTACCCTAAGTCACCCAAGCCTGAGACAAGACCCATTTTTGTTTGCTTTTCGCCCGATCTCAACCTTAGATTTGACCCTAGTCTAAGACATACTCTGCAGATGTTTTTAATACTTAATCCTTATACTCAGCATTTTTCCAAAGCTCCGAATTGATTTTCGTTTTTCGTTTTCATTTTTTTGTCTCATGATGAAGACTATTACCCAAGTGTACTCTACCTGAGCTGCCTCCATAACGATCCCTGTTTTGAATATTATTATGTGGTTTTGCTCATTGGCCACTTCGTCACCATACAAAAATTAAGCTCAATCCATGGTCAATATTCGAAATCACAATCATGTGTTTTTGCTGTGCAATTAAATAATCTGCAATTTCCTTTGATATCACCTGGCACGCATGTTCATGATCACAACAATCTAATCGTATTCTGACTCATATCCAATCATCTGACTGAACGAATGTGTACCTTCAATGAAAATCATCAGTCAAGACACCATGGGTGTTCCATAGCTCAGTGTTCTACTCAAGATTTAAAGCTTAAATAATTTAGAGAGTTCATCAGCTGACTTAAGTCTAATTTTTGTCCTATTTCTCAGCTTTTTTTCTCCAAAGCCTTCGATAGACCTCAGAAAGCCCCCAAAAGCATGTACTACCAGCCCGATTTTTAATTCCTCTGATTATGATCTCCCATTCGTTCCCAACTGTATCTGAACTTCCAAAAATAATAGATTACCCAATAGAAATAATAACACCACATTGTCTAAAATATCTTTCTATAACAAGTCCAGTTCCTGAATACCTCTTGTAACCCACGTCCAACAAGTGATTCACTCTCATATATAGTACTTCAGTATGAAACATGAAAGTCTTCTTCAATTATAAAAAGAATTTCTCTTGCCCATTATTATAAACTATTTTTTGTTTTACTCTTGTACTTCAAGCCCGAGCCTTTAGAATGCAATGCCTCAGTCCCTATAACCCAACCGAAACCACTAGAAACTTCAGTTTCAAAAGCTCTTCAAAATGTTGCGATCATTCGATACGATGTTACTTCTCTATAGGTCGACATCTGAAACTCCACAGTTGACCACTACTGACATACAGATTCCTTCAAAAAGATCAGGTAAGTCTGCTAGCAAATACATCAGAGATTTCTTGATTCACTTCAACAACTATTTCTTTTTATTAGTCACGTCGACCGAGCAGAGTCCAGATCCAGTAACACGTTTAACAGAGCATGTGAAACTCGTCAAGGTAAGATTAATGCTGTGGTTGAAATATATGTAGATATCTCGATGAATGCTATCACTTAGTATCAAACACCAAGCAAACGGATTGTTGTGGAATCTCCCTCGCTTTGTTGCAACGATCTCCTCGGTCTCAGTCTCGAATGTGTAGATGGAAATTTTGTCGATGAAGGTAGGCGTAGATTATTGCCTTTTCTTAAGTTATCAATAAAGAAACCTCATAAATTGTCATTGCCGGAAAATTTAACATTTAATAGAACAAAAATTGCACAGACTGACAAGTTTTGAGCTTGCAATTGAATCCGACTGCATGTGCTAACAATCGTTGTTTGTAAACATCCATTTTTCTTAACGCTCAGTTGTTGAATCTTTTCTGATTGAGAAAGAGAACAATGAAATGCGTCCACATCTACTTTTGTTTTTTCTTCTAGGTAAAGTCCTACGAGAGAAGCCTTTTCAACGAAATATCAATGTTCTCATCGCCTCTCTCAATGTAACATTGCCATCGAATGCATTGAATAAATATACAAATGTCAAAATCGAACAGTTCACTGATGAATGCGTTTGTATTGCAAAAATCTTATCAGTTAAAGATAAATTAATTTATGTTGTTGTACCAATCACACTGGGCGATTTCGTCGTACCGTTGATACACAATCACAGATGTGTGGAAAAGATTTACATATATCAAGATTCTGATGATCAAGAATCAATTGATTGGATTCAAGACTATTCAAAAATCTGTGGTAATGGATCTAACATTAATTTATTAACGACACAAATCAGAGAAGACATTGATTCTACCATGAAACGTCCTTCACGTTGGTCAAGATCTAAAAGCTTATTGGCCGAACTATGTTCGCAGACTAATCAACCTGACCCATTAGTTCTCATCGAGCATACGTTCAAAGATGATTTAAGCACGATTTGCATTTTCACATTATTTCTCGGATCGCGTCGACCATTTCATCTGTCACATAGTAACATTAAAATCGCCGAATTCTATGATATTGAACAATGTATTCAATCAATTCAAAATAACAGTTCAATTCATGTTTATCTGATTATTTCAATGAGCGAGTTCCAGGATATTCGATCTGTAGTTGAACTCGATCCTGTTCATGCAGTGTATATTGTGACCGATCTCAAGTCGAATGAACTAATCGAGACAATGTCAACTTATTCAAAATTAAGTGGTATATTTGTTCTCAATGAAGATCTACTCGATCAACTCATCAGAGACATTTGTTTCTATCGGCAGATTCGATTTCGTTTACCGAATATGAATATTTTCAGACTCGAGTCGAATATCCTTGACAAACTTAGCGAACGTCAGGTGGACTTTTTGTGCTTTCAACTATTTAGTGGCATCTTACCGGAGTTACCAAATCAATCGTCTACAACTGCTGTTAGTGATACTCAGAATGACGGTCATCTTCTTACTTATCTAATTGAAGCAAATACAAAGATTAATTATCTTTTTAAAGATTTCAACATATCTACATTACAAAACTCGACAACAACTTTGAAAGAAATCAATCAACGAATTTTATCCTTAGCAGAAAACATCAATCCATCGTCTGATACCGTCTATCGAGCTCAAATAGTATCAAAGACAGATTTAAAAATGTTACAAGATAATTCTAATAATCTACTCGCTATACAAACATTCGTTTTAGCTTCACGTTCGTTTCAATCTGTAGTTGACATTTGTCGTCGAGCAGTCGATAATCAACTTACTGTAGTTCTCTTCGAACTAAAATTGCCCGATAAAATTTCGGTGGCACAGTTGAACTCAGATACATTGGTTTTCAGTCTTGGCACTCTCTTTCGAGTTATTTCAACAGATGAAGAACCTGGAGGTGTGTGGCGCGCACAACTCGAGCCGGCCGATAGTGCTATGGAACGTATTAGAAATCAACTTCGAATTGAGATTGGTGGTCATCTTACATGGTTAACATTCGGAAATTATTTGACTGCTTTGAAACGATATGATGCTGCTAAGAATTACTACGAATATCTTTTACTCGTACTTCCATTTGATCATCCAAGTCTTGCTTTTATTTACGATAACATGGGTTTGATGTATTCGGAAATGTCCGATAATGAAAGAGCATTAACATTATTTAAACAAGCATCTAAATTGGACGTTGCCAATCTACCAATGCCAGTTGAACAGACAAAATTATTGAATACGAACTTATCATGTCCAGAATCTTCTTCTATCGACAAAATGACAATATTTAACAAAATAGCAGAAATCAAGTATCGTGAAGGAGATTACGAAGCAGCACTTCACTATTATCGTCAAGCACTTCATGTTGCAACAGATTCGGCATCATTGCAGTTTTTTCAAACTAAAATTGAAGAACTTTTATCCATTAAAGATACTCTTGGTTCTAACAATTAGCATACGCTGATGATTAAAATTTTTGTTCGTTTTCTGTTTGCATTCATTTGTTCTATTTTTTTTTGTAGAGGTAATCATGTAGTAGATCATTCCATCGATCTATTTCAGATAAGTCCAATCATATTCAAGACTTTCTCAAAACAAAACTTCAGCCAGACAGATAAATCATTTTGCAACATCAATGGGACTAACCGATCATTCGTCCACCATGCGAAATTTAATGGCCATATGGTATCATCAGAAAAATGTCGCACCTGATATTCTGCGTCAAATGAAGATATATCTTCACAAAAACTTTAATTATTCATGTGTTTTCAATAATAAAGAAGATTTGATTACGTATCTTGCAAGTGACCTCGTTATTAAACAAATAATATTTATCATAAGTAGCGATGATGAAAAGGAAGTAAAAGCTGTAGAAAGTCTTGTCAAGCGACGTGGTCAATTTCGAGGACTATATCGATTAGAACTTGGGAAACATAATTTATCGGCATCTTCGAATAATAAAGATGTGCGTTTTATAATTGACAAAATGGTTAATGAAATTATTAACGACCTTCGAAAAACTCAACAGCCAGTCGAGAGTTCTGAACATACGAACGACCGCAAAGAAACTGCTCTAGATGAGTTAACGCCCATGTTCGATACCTTCAAGTCGGTTTCTGCACACACGACATTTTGTAATTTGAGCAATGAATCACTCAAATTCCTGCTGTTTCAAGCCTTAACTGAAATAATGATACGTAGAGAATATAATGAGGAAGATTTTGAACTAATGTGGAATCTTTGTCATCAAGAATACATAATGGATGAGATCGAGGCGAGGAAAATTAGAACTTTTGCTACAGAATACAAACCGGAGAAAGCGGTAAATTATTATACTCAAAGCTCGTGTTTCTTTCGGCTCGTTAATCAAGCTTTTCGACTTGAAGACTTTGATAGTATATTTTGCTTTGGTTGCTACATAGCCGATCTACATAACCAAGTAGAAAAACTTGGTAGGGAACAAAGACAAAATGACAGTAAAAATATCAAAACATTTTATCGGGGCAAACGATATTCAACCGATGTTATACAACAATTCAAGGATAGCATCGGACATTTGATTGCTTTAAACGGACTTCTTTCGACAACCGAAAATTATGTGACTTCTACAGTATTTGCTGGCATGGGAGAAACTCAAGATGATTGTCAAAGTGTGATATTTGAGTTTAATATTGATTCTAATGCGACAAATTTAATCAGACCCTATGCAAATATTAACGGGCACAGTGCGTATCAAGAAGAGAAAGAAGTTCTGTTTTTCATGGGTTTCGTTTGGAAAATCGAATCGATGCAAAAAATTGCTACTAATGATTGGTATATTATACTTCAATCATGTACAGACTATGACCCTAAACTAATCATATACATTGAGCAATCCAGACGTGACTGTACGTATTTGACTGTCGGCAATATCTTGCGAGAGCTGGGTGATCATACGAATGCAACAAACTTTTATCGACGTATGCTTTCGAATCAAAATCTTTCAGATGAAACGCGTGGTCATATCTATTTCAATATGGCTACGCTGGCCGAAGATCAGGGTAGATACTTTGATGCGGTGGATCATTTCCTCAAAGCAGAAGACTTGATTAAATCGACAGTATTAGAAAATAGTGAAGCACCAGCGCAATCAAAACCTCTTTTCCCGCACAACATTGTTCCCTCTCAGCTACATCGTTTCAACAATATGGCTCGACTATATATGAAAGCTCGAGACCTTGAGTCTGCTAGAAAATATTTTGAGAACGCCCTTAAACAGGAAGGCTCTGATATCGAACGCGCCACCGTATTAAATAATTATGGTCTGTTTGAATATACGTGTCGAAATGTTCAACAAGCTCAGAAGTATTTACAACAAGCAGTTGAATTAGCTAAAAATGATGCATATTATACAGAATTCAAACACAATCTCGATTTAGTCAATAAACACATTTCTAAAGAAAACGAAATGGCTGATGTAGAACGGAAACCGGCACAAAAGTGTGAAATACCTGTTTTAACTTCTTGTTACGAATCTAAATGCTGAGTAGGTTATAATTTGTTCAACGAAATAAATTAGTACACCCAACTATCATATTGAAATACCATTGTGAGTTTTTGAATTCTCTATCCTACTTGTGACATTTTTTACACACTGATGATGGCATCCTATCTGCGGATTTCTCTTGCAATGTTTCGGTCCACTCAGTGTTTTATCTGGAGTATTCATGTACGGAAAGAAGGAATGCGTATCCTCGAAGTCCAGTATCGACGCCTTGTAAACAAGTGTTCAGCTTTTTTCGGTATATTTGACTGTCCTTTCACCTTTGCCACGATCTACAATGATTACTAAAAAGAAAAAAAAACCTGAGAAAGACCTTTGCCTTATTGTGTAGGAAGTTTCGCACCTAATCCAACTATACCCTCTTCATGTGAGAAAATTCTCTTCTCGATCTTTTCTATCGTACTATTGTAAGTATGTTATGTTCATCCTCCAATGGTGAACTCCGTTGGCATAATGAATTCTTATATCGTGCTTGATTCGACTTCATGGCGTCGTTGAAAATTGTTCTTAACATCCGATTTCCAAGACAAATCCAACATAATCCGACAGCAAATGCGATCAAACACTTTATTTATGTATAGCAAACAGGCTAGCTACAAAGCTGAAATCAAATAATTTTTTTTAACGAGACGTCCTGCTCTATGTAAATACATAATGTTCGGTGTCTGTCTGTTACTGGATCATGATCAGGGATTAAAGTCTAGTTCTGATAGAACCTTCTAGGAAATGTTAGAAATGAGTCGTGTACTCGTTGAATACGTCATACACAGAGCTACAGAACATATGGAATCCAGAGAGAAAGAGAATAATTCAATGTGTTTCCAAAGCAGCTTTACATTCGGCATTGTGCACATTTCATACGTTTGAAAATTGTTTATGATTATTCATAAATTAGGATTTATTTAGTATCTGTCCCACAAAAAAAAGTAAACATGAGTCATGATTGATATGTTCTAAATAGCAAGTACTGGTAAATAATTTATGTAGGCATCAACCACCCTAGTCGCAATTTCGTGCATGTCTTGAGAAAGCCTGAAACGATTCATAAGGATCCTGTTTGCAAGATATCTTATGATGGAACAGAATCATTTTCACAGTTTCTTCAAGTTCCTACACAGAGTTTGATATAAACTAAGAATGAAGGATCATACCAGAATTCATTCTCAATCCTATTCGAAATCTTGACAGAGCTAAGAAAAAAATTATGTTAAGATTCTATAAAGTTTTTATCAGAATCTGTTCTGAATCTCTGCACTTTTTCAGAATTCTGCTGTAATCTTCTCAGAGACAAGAATTTTAGATCCTAACTAAGGAACGCTAGGCGTGTAAGGATCTTGTTGAGAAAATCTCAAGGCTCACTTAAAATCTCTGTAGGCCTTCATTTAGAATCTCTCAAAAACTTGATTTTGCGTATTCTATCAAGATTTATGACTGAACCACTTCAGAATTTTGACAGTAATCGATGAAATCGTTCCACCAATGCTCTGGCAGGTTTCCATTAAGGATTCGTTCAAGAGTTTCGAATCTCTAAATCTCAACCAATGTCACCCTTTATGTTAAGTATATTATTAAGAGCAATAAATGGAAAGATGTCTCAAGATTTTATCATTTCTTTGTGTCAACTCTGCCAGAAATCTTGTTATGTAAGAATCTATCAAGATTTTATTCTAATATTCATCTCTATATATAAGTAGATTGGAAAAATTCGAGCAAAAGTTTAGCAGATTTTTTGTTGAATCTCTTTAAAATTTATATTCAATGTGATCTAATTACATTGCAATATTGCATTCTTTGAATTTCTCTCGCCATAGTTTATGATCAGGTAAAATTCAAATATTGGTTAATAACTCAGAAGGAATTTATATTAATTAATCTTATACAGTCCAGTACATTCAGCTAATCGATTTGTAAATTTAATGTCTAAAGGGTGCAAGTGTGTGAGTGAGGTTGTCAATGGCTGTATTAGGGTACTCTTTACAGCCACATCTACATCTCACTCCCACTCCCAGTCCCACTTACACCGGATTGAGATCTTATTCGAACACTTTTGAAAGGTTAGAATGAATTAGCGATACTCTCAGTCGATTCATCTTATCTTGAAATCATATATCTATCAATAAACTTTTCTTGCATAAAACAGACTATATTCGGCTCGATTAAAAACTAAAAGAAAATCGATGAAGCATGTACAAAGAAATATGCAAGTACTCGAAAATTTCTATTAAACATTCGAATCTTGAAATGTTTTGTTTCTTTTTCTTATTGCGGCAATAGTCATTTGTTCTTAATCCAGTATTATATGAGAGAGAGAGCAACAATTCAGAGTTCACCAAGTTGTAATGAGATCCTTCATCGAAATTTTTATCGATGACAGAAAATTTGAGTGTTGAATGCAATCGAATTTTGAATGTACACCTCTTTTGAGAGTGGGTAAGTGAAGGATTTCTCTCCACTCATCCACAAATTCCTGTCCACGTTCATAAATGAATTTGAAACGAAAAAATGTCCAAATATGAACCTGAACCCAATCTGATCGAACCCAAATGATTTGGCTTTGCTACATATCTAGTTTTCTCGCGTTTTTCTCTCAAGTGAAAAACTCTAATTGAAGCCATTTCTTGGAATTCAAGGATTTCGACTTTTCTGATTCAACGTGAATAATTTTTTTTTGATGACTAAATCAATGAACTAATCGATAACAATGAAGTAGTTGCTGAATAAACTTCAGCGATCAATTGAGCCATTACCCCATCATTCAGTTCGATTATAAATGCTATCCTTTCTCGCTGAATAAATTAGAAATGGTTGATTTCTTTTTTCCTCGTGCAATTCAATCGAATAGTACTGGCAGTAGTTTCAATCTAAGGAAAGTGTTGATGAATGAGTGTACAATTTTCTCTTTCATGTACAA